CCATATAAGGAGACAAAAATAATATAATAAAGCCGGTATCTCCTTAGTTTTTTTCTTAGACCAAGGATTGAATATCAATCTAGCACTCCTTTGAGCAACTCATGTGTGTTGACTCAATCCTCAGTATTCTTGTGCCCTATAGAAAAGTAGATATTGTGACTTAGGTATCCACATAGGTCCATGTTGGTTTGTAATTATACCTTTAGGTATCCAAATTTGTTTAACAGTTTTAACTCTACATTGCATGTAACAATTTATTAAAATATGACTCATTCTACCGCATCAAGTACACATATTAGATGGTACAGTAGAAAATGAATGCAAAGCAATTTAAATTATTTCCTTTTACCAATGAATGATGAAGCTTTTTATGCTTTCCTGAATATGAATAACCAAGTCCAGTTTTAGCTTTTGCGACTCGTTGATTAGAAATAGTAGTAGTGCACTTAGTTTCAAACAATATTTGTTCTAAAGATAATTCGCACAATAATTTGTTTACCTTAGCAATTACTTTTTTATTTCCCTTAATTTTATCATCTAGTGGCTTAAATAAACAGAAATTTTGATCTTGAAAAAGATAACATTGTGTGCAATCAATTGTGGTTACGTCACAAGATGAATTATGTGAATCTAAATTTGGGGAAAGAGATTCAACTTTCTTACATAAGGTTTTCTTTTCTTTCCTTAAATTTGCATTTACTCTTTTTGTCACTCCATATTTTTAGCAATTTTCTCAAATTGAATTAGCATTTCTTTAAACTTGGAATATAACTTATTACATGAAGGATATATCTCATTCTCTGTATTTTCACTTTCAGAGTTATATTTCACTTTCCAGAGTTGTATGTTTCACCTTCTTCTGAATCAGAACTTGCACTATTTCTCCTATAATACATAGATTTTTTTTTCTCAACTTCACTTGAGCCAACTTCTAATTCTTCATCACTCATCAAATCCCAAGTTGTCACCTTCAAACTTTTGCCCTCCATCTTTTTGTCTTTCTCGTTCAATAACCATTTGTTTTTATAGTGGCCTTGTTTCCTGCAGCAATAACAAATAGGTTTAGTTTTGGCTTCACTAAATGAATATTTATTTATCTTATTTATAAATTAATTTAGTCTCTTTTGCATGTATTTCTATCCCTTCTTTGTTCTGAGAAAAGATTTGAATCCTTTTATAAAAGATCTAACTTGACCATTTTTCATCTTCAAATTTTGAGCTTAACTCTTTCTTCTTCGTGGATTGAGATTTCTTCTTTTTCACTTTTATCGCTAACGACTTCTTCTTTGAGTTATTGTTTAAATTATCTTCTCTTTTTTAGTCACACTTTGTAAATGAGAAGAGTCTCCATAATATTCTAAAGAGTTAATTCAGAAAAATTTTATAATTCTTCGATGACCATCGTTTTTGGTTCTCAATCCTTAGAGAGAACGGAGAATTTTTCTCACAAGCTCCTTGTTATCATACTTCTTTCCTAAAGCTTTTAATTTGTTCACAATATCCGTGAATCGGGTGAACATATCCTAAATACTCTCTGAGGCCTTCATCTTGAAATTCTCATACTTACTCGCAAACATTGTAAGTTTTACCTCTTTCACCTACAAAGTTCCGTCGTGTGTAACTTCTAAAGCTTTCCAAATTTCCTATGCAGTAGAATGATTTGATACATGGTCAAATTCTTTAGTAGTTAAATAAAAAAAATGAGCATTTATAGCTTTTGCAATCAAAGAGTAATTTTTTTTTGTCTTGGGTAGTCTACATATCTCTAGGAGTGGCAATGGTGACATCTTCCAACAGTAGTGGATTCACGATAGCCATTTTTTTACACTGCTCCAGATGTCATGACTGGTGGACAACAAAAAACACCTATCTAGGCATTTCAATAGGTATAGTTTGTCCTATCAAAAAGTAGGGATTGATTAATTGCGTGTTCCTCAGGGAAAGTCAATGTAGCAGTCTAATTAGATAGCTCTACCTCTGGTTGTGAATCTTATTGATGGGTAACAAATCTCTGATACTACTTGTTAGATCTGAGATGCACACTTAGGGAGGGGTAGGGTGAATAGCTTTTTATTGTTTTTTAATAAAAACACAAAATATGCATCAAAATTGATAAAATAAAAGTGAACAATTATAATTAATCACAAATAATAATCAACCAAAGAAGCACAAGATTTTATAGTGGTTCTGACAATAATCATGTATCCACTCATTCTTCTCTCGAAGAGGCTTCCTTACTATGCCAAATGTTCTCCTGAATCACAATTAGATTCAATAGGCTTACTAAGATCACACCCAGGAATCTACCCGAAACTAGTCGCCTAACCTAATTATCCACAATGAGTAACCATTTAGCCCTAGCTAGTCCCAACCCTTATTTAACATCGGCTTGAGTATACTATAAAAATAAGTTTGAAATACAATCAATAAAACACAATTCAGCTCAGAAAATATGAAAGATCTTACAGGCCTTTAGATAAGCAAACATTCCTTCAATGAATCTAAGTGTAGCATGATGAAAAATGGTGTAGATGATAAATCCAAAGATAACTCTCATCACTGAAATGATCCAAAGATGTTGTGCGCAATGAGAAAGAGTTTTTCAAGGCTCTAGAGATCAAAACCTAGAAAATAATCTCTTCTTAGATCAAAACCCTAGAATTCTTCATTCTTTCCATCTCTTTCGATGATATATAGTCTCCAATACGTCAAAAAGAGATATCCTAAATGTGGTACAATTTGGAGATTAAAGCATTGATGAACGGCTGAGATTGAAACTTTAAATCCGCAACCAGCAAACTTTACCATCGATGGGTTCATGTCAACCATTGATGGAGGCAAGGGTTCCTACAAACCATCGTTGAGTTGTGTTATAGTATTTTTAGTCGCCAAACTATGGCCCTTTGCCAGCTACGAGCAGGTGTTCCCCGACATGCACCGTTCAGATCAAATTAATGATCAGTACTGCCAAGATCCCGACTTAGCTGACTTGCCGAGTCGATGTATCCTTACGTTGACTCGAAGGTCGATACTTTTTGGTCCTCTTGTCGAAGATGACTCTCTACGAGCCCACTCGACCAATTATTCGACACCTCGCAAGGTTGACTCAAAAGGCGTTACTTCTTAACACCCCTCGCTACAAGCCAAAAGATAACTTCAACCTCGAATGCCCCTGCTAACAGCGCATCGACATCACATTAAATGCTTGGCAGGCGCCATCATTTCTCCATCCCTGATACTATTTATGACACATCGAATCATGCCGGCTTCGGGTGCCGCCCATCGCATCTCATTAATGACGAAATGACAGCGCCCATCCCGTGGTCGATCCATGACCGACACCTGTAAAGTAGACGCTGACTCAGCCGCCAGCTCAGGCTCGGCCAAAAAGACTAAACTACCCCTCTTGCATGGCTATAAAAAAAACTATTCCGAATACAAGGGTAAACAATTTTTTAGCATTTTTCTCCATTTTGTTGCATTTTCTCATATTCACACTCAAGCACCTAGCTGACTTGATCGTCGGGGGAACAACGGGGGAACCAGTCCCTATCCTCTTATGAGTCGTTACATGTGCAAGGACGAACAACTCAACTCTAAATCGGATATTCAAAAAGCGAACGACCCCTATATTAACCCAGTCTTTATTACCTTCTCTTTTAACTGTGTGATTTAAGCCATCAACAAGTTGAAATCTTATCTCTGAAATTTCATCAAACGATTCCTATAGTTATTGATGATATCATCAATCATCGATGAGTCTCTACTGACCATCGATGGTTTGATGGCTGAAATACGCTATTGAGTTGATTTCTGCATCGTTTCGCCTCATACACATCTTACACCTATATTCATCTGTACTAAATTATCTCAAACATTTATTAGCATCAAATGAGAGTTTGTTATTACTCAAACAAAAGATATTGTATGGACTACATCCTAACATAGACTGTCTAAACTAGCTATGACCATGCTGTGAAACTATAATTAACATGATAAGTTTTCCTTTAATCCTTTTAGGAAAAAGTAACAAATATAAAATCCCATCTATCACCAATTCATAATGACCACACTATTCTATAATTATCAGGGTGATGGTATATAGTTATAGTCCTACTCTTAAACGCTAGTGCTACCTTATATAAGTTTATCTTATACTCACATATGAATCCTCAACGTTCTCAAACTTGACTAAAGTCAATCTATCCCTTCACATTGGCGAGTATCAGACCCAACCTAGAGTTAATATGCCTTAAACAGATGCTAGATATCACTTTTAACCCGAAAGCTTTAGCTATTAGGTTTGATCCCAATTTCTATTTAAACATATCCTTTTTTTTTATCCTAATCAATATGAGACTATACTCACATATGAATCCTACAAATATTGCAGCTACAAGTGCAACTGTTAGGGCTTGTTTGGTTCATTACATGATAACCATTTTTTAGTGATTTCGGGGGTCGGGGGAGGGGGGGATCAAAACATCACATGTGGGCTCACTTTTCCATCGTTTTTAGCCAATTTCCTCTCAAAATGATCCGAAATAGATTTTCAGTTTTGGTAGGACATGCAGCATTATTAGCATCTTTGAGGCTGTAGACGCTCTTTCCTCTTTCTTTTCCCCCTTCATTTTTCCAACCAAACAGATGAATGGCCTATTTCTTTAGGTGGCTGCGAACTAAACAGCCGTAGGTGCAAATATAAGAAGAAAAAAATGATGAAGCTTCACATTCAACTGTACAAATAGTTTCAAACTGTGAAATGATCCCCTACTTAACTTAACAAGAACTGTTTATCGGGAGTTTCTGTAGAATCTAGACAAGGCTTGATATTAACTGAGGAAACAGGCAAGTCCAGTTCACTGCAATCTAAGGAACCTTAAGATTCTTGATAACCTGAAATGAACTTCTTCAGACCATCAATTTGCAATAATCAAGCAAGCCTAATTTGGTCCAAAAACTGTATTGATGATTATAGAAGCTATATATATATAGTAGCAGAAATCAACATAGGTGATTGATTAGAGGATTCTAATATCACACAAAAGTTGAGACGGATACAACACAAGCCCCAAAAAGTTCTATTGCAGCATCAAAATCAAACAAACTGAGAACAGAACAGAGAATACATCCCCAAGACAGAGATCAAACAAAGCAACTAGGCTAGAAATCCCAAGCTGAAGAAACTCTAGGCCTCTTATTGCTGCTCGAAGGAGGAGTATTGATCTGAGGAACCATGAAGGAGTCATCAGTACTCCACTGTTCTCCTATCCCCTTCAACGCATCATAACACTGTTGGTTCTGATCCAATCCCTTCACCCCAAACCCATAGTCACAGTGACCAAAACTCTGCAGGGTCTGAATTTGAGGTACCCAGATGGGCAACTCTGCAACAACTAGCTCACTCTCCGAAAGAGGCACCATCTCCTCACTCTGCTTAGATAAATAAAATTTTACATTAAAATTTCAAATGTGAAGGATATGGGATTTGTGAGTGATCAAATTTGCGCATATACCTTGTGTAATTCATACGTGTCGTCGACGAGCAAGTCTTCAACACGATAACCTGGAATTGTCTTCGTCAAGTATTCCGATATGCTGCTGCTGCTGCTGCTGCTGTTTTCATTGTTGTTGCCGATCATGACCGAGGATTTTTCGACGTTTATGGATTTCTCGGATAAGGGTGCGGCTGACAGCCGAGCACCAGTCAACAAGAACCTGCTGTGTTTCATGGTGAGTTGATTAGCACTATGAATCGGATCGTCGCAGTCCCTGCAAAGGATCGCCCGGTCCTCCTGACAGAACACGAAACCTCTCCTCTCCTGCAACAAACGCAACCGTTGTCATCATAACCTGATCTTCGGAAGCGATGGATGCTGAGCACCGGAAGTGGAGATGGTTAGTTACCTTGCAGATGTCACAGAGGGGCCGAGGTTGTTCTGCTGGCGAGAGCGAGAAGCGGCGGTGTTTCCTCGCAAGCTTGTTCGCGTGGTGGACGCTGCCGTCGGCAGGCGTCGGCAGAGGAGGAAGACCTGCATCGGCGCAACAGAAGAGGAGGGCGCTCGCCTTTGCTGCAAACGTCACACTGTATCTTCATCGGATCCAGGAATGAGAGTTTGAGATCTGGGTTTATGGTCAACGAAGAGGAGGGATATAGGGGAGGTGAGATTATTGATTGGTATGGGGAATGGAGCAAACTTTCATGAAATAATATTTGTTTAAGAGCAGAATGAATTTGATGGGTTTATCGATAATTTATATTATAAATTAAGCAAGACTGGGTGATTCTGGAATGTATGCCATCAAACAGGGAGACCTTTTGATGTTTAGCCTGCCAAGAAAAATTTAGGACGAATTTGGATATTATCATTTTTACAGAGGCTTTTGTCTCTCTCTCTTCTACAGTTTGTTTTAAGACAGAAATTGGTGGAACTGAGTCATCATTAATTAATTAATTAAAGAGACAATTTGGTGGGCCAAGAAACTTGCTAAATCTGGAGAGACATTTCCCATTTCACACAAATCTTCATCCTCGTGCTTAGATGGAAGACGGGGAAACCTACTATTTATAGCAGTCATTCTTTAACTTGACAGGCAAAAGTTTGTGGAATTAAGATATCAAGATTATTCACAATTCTGCACGGAATTCTAACAAGATGAAACAGTCCAAATTTATTAAAAAAATCCCTAAGTAATATTAAGGAGAATTCAGTAGATCTGCATTTTTCTATTCCAACTGTGTATTTCATAATACGTATAAATAGTTCAACCAATTTCTTCATAACCTGCTAATTAATAGTCACTTTCATCTGAAAAATCTAAGCTGTATAAATTCGATTAGTTTAGTGCTTTCCGCACAGTGAATTCATAACTTCTCTACATCCAGATGTTTGGTTCTTTGTGGTTCATGCAAAAATGTTGTATTAATATATGTGCAGATGGGTTAATGAAAAAAAATGCAATTATAATTAGAATTTCAGTTTATCCATTTATTTCATGAAAATGTAGTCCCTTTCCAACTTGAGTTCAAAGAGAGACCCTAATTTCACAACAGAGACTATCTTTGTAATTACAGATTGAGAAACCTGTAGTATCATTGACACAAACAGAGAAAATTGCATAGTTATATTTTAGAAGTTTCAAGCATAAATTCGGGTCAACCAAACAAAACTAACATCTATTGTATGATTATTTGCTCATCTCTCCATGATATAATCACAGGTTTCAGGATTCTGAAATAGTATGTAACTTAGTTCTTTAAAACACAGGAAACGTAGAGCTTACTAATTTCCAAACACAGCAAGACTAAGAGCACAAAAGCAATGCATGTGCAACATTTCACCATATTTCCCTAAATCACAAGCACGTAAGAAATATAGCATTTTTGTCTTTATTGGGAAAAAAAATACTGAAACAGGCCTTACAAACGATTCCATTTAATCAGGTACACTACTCTAAAAATGTTCAAAGAGTAATTGAAATATATCAAGATATTAGACAGAAGTACAATATAAAGATATGTAGTTTGCTAAAACAGGGTTGTGCATGTGCAATGTTAGCAATGAAGTTATGTAGTGGTGATATCTAGTTAAGTGGATTAGTTTTTTTATTAGATACCCCAACTATTTCATGAAATATCTACAATATTTATTTTTTTTTTTTTTTGGGGGGGGGGGGGGGGGGATTAGGGGGCTCAATAGTTTTTGAGATGAAGCAAAATGGAGACTACAATGTAATAAGTACTAAGCAAAAAAAAAAAAAAATTGTTCTACCAATCTCTCTCAAAAAATTCAAAAGTTAAAAAAAAAAATCTACCAAGCCAAGCCTGTTCATAAAAAAATGAGGAAAAATTATCTCTGTGTTGGTCAATCTTTTTTCATAAGTTTTTAATGGCATCACCTTGTAATTCTCAGTACTGTAGTGCGCTGCGGAAGCCGACTCGACAAGTCAATAGCACACACAAGAACCAATAATAGACCACAATAATACAAGTAACACCCAATCACAGCAAGAACACAAGATTTACGTGGTTCGGCAATGTGCCTACGTCCACAGGGTAAGGAGGGGGGAGTTTTACTAATAGAAATCAAGGGGAATACAAATTAGGATTACAAATCTAATCAAAACCCACAAATAAGCCCTCTTAATCTATCCAAATGGCTCCAACAATAAAATCCCCAATTCTCCTCTTTCTTTAGCTCAAAATCCTCTCCCTTAGACCCTAAAAACGAGTTAATGGTATATATACAACTCCCAAGCGAAAAGGGTCTGGAACTCAAAATCAGCCCAAACCCGCTTCGGCGGTCGACCGCGTAGGTATCACGGTCGACCGCCCCAACTCCAGAGGCTTACTGGAGTCCTGGATCCATCGCGGTCGACCGCCACGGTCGACCGTCTCAACTACAGAAACTTCTGCGGTCGATCGTCACAGGTGCAGACGCTTATCCAGCTCCGAGCATGAATTCGGTCGACCGCCAAAACCCGCGGTCGACCGCCAAACTGCCAGATCGACTCCTGAGCTCATTTCCTGGCAATCCTACAAATCTTCACCTCGGCGAACGTTTTGGCAAAACTGAACCGACACTAGACGAGAGCTCAAACAATCTCACCCCTAATCAAATTCAACTCATACAACCGGCTGCATCCGCAAGACTGCCTATGTATCCTCTTGTCCAAGGAATCAAGCCGAACGTAGTTTATCCAAATGGCCGCCAACGGCCTCAACAACGAAGAATGTTATATAAATTCAAACAATGACCAAATTTCACACCTGGAACAACTTTGGTCAACATATCAGCAGGGTTGTCCTTAGTGTGGACCTTCTCCAACGTGACATCACCATCATCCTGGTCAACATATCAGCAGGGTTGTCCTTAGTGTGGACCTTCTCCAACGTGACATCACCATCATCCAATACGTCACGTACAAAGTAAAATCTGACATCAATGTGCTTCGTGCGTGCATGGTAGACTTGGTTCTTCGCCAAATAGATAGCTAACATGCTATCACAATATATTTGAATGGTCTCCTGTGCAATCCCCAAATCATCCAACAAACCATGTAGCCACAAAGCCTCCTTCACTGCTTCAGTCATCGCCATATATTCCGCCTATGTAGTAGAAAGCGCCACTATAGACTGAAGAGTGCATCTCCAACACATCGGTGCACTAGCCAATGTGTAAACATAACCTGTAGTGGACCGACACTTGCCAAGATCTCCGGCATAGTCTGAATCCACGTAGCTAATACAATCCTGCCATGTCTTAACATTTTTCACAAATATCAACCAAACATCCACGGTACCCTTAATATACCGTAGAATCCACTTCACCGCCTCCCAATGCCTTTCCCGGGGTTGTGCATGTACCTAGATACCATGCTCACGGCTTATGATAAATCTGGCCTCGTACACACCATAGCATACATCAAGCTACCCACTGTACTGGTGTATGGAACTTTGGACATGTAGTCCCGATTCTCCACTAAAACTGGTGACATCAAAGCTAAAAGCTTAAAGTGAGGAGCTAATAGAGTACTCACCACCTTGGTATTACCCTCAAAACTAAATTTTTTCAGCATCTTTTGCAACTAACTCCTCTGTGTAAGCTTTAATCTCCCCTTCATCCTGTCTCTCTCAATCTCCATACCCAAAATCTTCTTAGCCTCTCCTAGGTCCTTCATCTCAAATTCAGATGACAGCTCCTTTTTTAATTTCCCAATAGCTGAAGTGTTCCTGGAAGCAATGAGCATATCGTTAACATATAATTACAGATAAATGTGCTCACCATCTTGTAGCTTGCGCATATAAACACACGGGTCATAAGGGCTCTTCGTGTACCATTGGCCTATCATAAAGCTATCAAATCTCTTGTACCACTGTCGCGATGATTGCTTCAGTCCATAAAGAGATTTCTTCAATTTGCACACCAAATTTTCCCTTCCTGCAGCTTTAAACCCTATAGGTTGTGTCATGTAGATCTCCTCATCTAAGTCTCCATGTAGAAAGGCCGTCTTCACGTCCATTTGGACCAAATCCAAATCCAGCTGTGCTACCAATGCCAATAGAATCCGAATAGACGAATGCTTCACAACAGGTGAAAATACCTCGTTGTAATCGACGCCCTCAAGCTGTGCATATCCCTTGGCTACTAATCTGGCTTTGAACCGAATGTCCCCAATAGAAGATCCCTCCTTCTTAGCATACACCCACTTGCAACCAATAGCTTTTTTACCCTTAGGTAGCTTTGAAAGTTCCCAAGTATCGTTCTTCTGAAGAGATTGTATCTCCTCCTCCATAGTATTCCTCCACCTAATGAAATCAGGGCTAGACTCTGCCTCCCTGAATGTGGCAGGAATTAAATCATCAACGACCTCCACAGATAAAGCATATACCACCATGACATCATCATATCTAGCTGGCCGATGAATCTCTCTCCTTGGTCCATCTGCTGCAATGGACCCTTGAGCATGATCCTGCTCCTGAGTCTCATCATCCACTGTATCCTCCAAATTCCCGACCATCATCTCAACTCCTTCCAGTGTCACCTCTGTAGGAATCTCAATGGACACAGTGTTGTCTGGAGTGGATGGAGTCACATCATCCTCTACCTGCTATGATATCCCTCTTGTCTGATCTTCCTCCACCTGCTGAGGAACTCGAGGCTTCATCATGTACGCCTCATCAAATGTGACATCTCTGCTAATGATCATCTTCTTATCTTGTGGATCCCATAATTTGAAGCCTTTGACACCTTCTTTAAATCCCACAAAGACAGCCTTCTTATCTCTCGAATTTAACTTCCCATCACTAACATGGAAATAAGCTGGACACCCAAATATCCGAAGGGTCTCATAATCACTAGCCACAAAACCAGACCAACGCTCCATCAGAGTCTTCCCCTCTATCGCAATGCACGGCAACCTGTTAACGAGATGGCTCGCGTAAACTAACCCCTCAGCCCAAAAGGATCTAGCCAATCCACTCTGCGTCATCATACATCACACCTTCTCTAACAAGGTACAGTTCATCCTCTCAGTCACCCCATTCTGTTACGATGTCTCTCTAACTGTGAAGTGTCTTCTAATACCGTGATCCCGATAAAACTGCAGAAATGGGTCACTCTTATACTCTCCACCGTTGTCTGAACGAAGGGTCTTCACCTTTCTACCTGTTTGCAGCTCTACTTTCTTCTTCCACTCCACAAATATATCCAGGACCTCATGTTTATGCTTCATGGTATATACCCAATTCCTCCTGGAATAGTCATCAATGAAAGTAACAAAATAATTTGCCCCACCAAGCGATGTGTGCTTAAAAGGGCCCAAACATCTGTGTGAATGTAATCTAATATACCTTGGGTGTTGTGAATAGCGGTGCCGAA